ACTTGCCCGCTCCAGACTTCCTGTTGAACTTCTGGTACTGCTTTGTAACCTTTTTCATTTTAGCCATGTCTGTAGTCAACTGCTTGATCATCCCCTTCATTTCCTCTATGTCATCTGTTGCTTCAGAACTAGCCATGCAAGCAGGATTGGGCTTCGTTTTCATCTTTGACTCTTCAGGGTGGGGCTTCTTTGTCTGGGTCTCCTCCTCTCTATTCCTGAGATCTTGCTCCACCTGGCGGATTGCAATCACAAGACGATCAAAGTCTTGGATGGTGTCATACTTATGGCCTGTAATATCCTTTAAATCTCTTCTAAGGCCTGTCCAAAACATCGTTCTCAGCATATCTCCTGAGTGGGCATAAGTCACCTCTCTTCTCTTCACAGCTCTAATCTACAACTCCAAGAGGCTGTATCCTCCCCCTCCTTCTGACGTGCGCTGTAAAACTGTGCCAGAAGTGCTTCACCCTTTTCCACCGTGCCGAAGATACTATCCATCTTGGTTAGGATATTTCTAACTGACACATCCAATCCAAGATGCATGACGACCGTTCCAGCTTTTCCCTTCGATGATCTTCGAAGTACATGGGCCACCACATCTTCTCCATGAGACAACAGCAAGGACTCCACCTCGTGCTTCCATAAATCATAGGATGTGTCCTTTTCTTCTCCTGAAAAGGTGGAAATCCTCACAGGTGGGCTGACTGTAACTGACATAGGATTGGGCATGGCACTTGCCCCATCTTCCTGTTTAGGATCCTTAGTACTGGTACTCCCCTTGGACTTGATCCATGACCGGAGCTCCTCAGACTTAAGTTGGCCTTCTTGGGGTTTGTAACCCATGGCTAAAAGAGTAGCTGTAATAACCTCAATGTGCTTCCCTGAAAATGATTTGTCGGACATCATGAATAAATAATTGGACAAAAGGCATAAAATTTTAAAGCAATACACCTGAAACGAAATATCTACTAAAAAATCACTTCAGGACCAACTCTCTAACACATTTGTATTGCGTCAGCTGTAAATAAACAATATTCATATCAAAATACTTAGTTTACACTGATCGCTGGGTTTTACCTGATATATTTTCCAAGTAATCCTTCTGGATGAGAAAAATGCTGTAAAATATTAGCTTAGTTCCAACAGCAAGGAACATTGAGTACAAGTTCAACAAAACATCAACACAAGAAACACGCACACATGTACATATATATATAAAACATAAAGTGCAGCAGTCACAGAAATCAGGAATGTCAATTGCGAGGTCCAGTCAACTTTTTGCTAGTCAAAATAGTGACCGGGTAGGCAATATCTATGTGAGATCTACTTCAAATGACAAAAGAAAAAAAATGAAAAGTTTCATCAAAACTGGAAATCCTATCGGATATAAGGTAATTTGAATCCAAAAGAACATGAAAGAAATAAACACACAAAATGGGTATCAACTGTGAGTTGTAATATTAAAGTCAAGAGTTCACGAGTAAATGTCACTGAAATTAATAAAACACTCGTGACCACTGCAGTTCAAAACAGGTGTTGTTCACTCAGGCATGACACGGTCGTCGACGAATTCACCTGTTGGCCTATCGAGTTAGTCTCAGTAGTAAAGCACACGCGTAACACAATGTAAAAATAGTAAAGTACACAACAAATGTTATGATAAAAATAACAGCTTTATATAAATCGACAGCTTCCAGTATGCATACTATTTGCTTGGAAACATAAAATTTTAATACAAGGAACGGTTTTATTTGCCAAATAATACATCCACTCCGGTATAAATCGAATAATCCATGCTGATCAGTCAGACAACACAGAATTCAAAAACGTGGATTTCTTCCGGAAGTGCTAATACCTGACCTGGAAGGTCAAGGACACACAGCGATGGTCCAGAACTTCAAAACGAGGCTCCGTGATTTCAAATTTGCCGGGAACTCCCGTATCGTGTGTGAGTGTGTGTTCCTACATGGGCGCCATAATGTAGCCGGGTTCCTATGCTACAGTGTTTTATAAAACAACGCTAGATTCATTCCTTTCATACATTTATTTAGACGCACCAAAAGATCTATTTTAAAATGTATATTTGCCACCACAGTCGTCCGTACGTAGCTACATATAATTGCGACTGTCCATGTCTCTGTCCAGCGCGTGAATAACGATACAGAATATACAGGTTGGACAAGTACATTTATAAAAATATATGCAAATAGATAAAAGTAAAATTGACACTGCCACATAAATGCTGTGTTATAATTTACTGTACTAAATACAGACGCTCACAACATTGGCGTAGTTATGCTCGTCCCTATTTCGAATCTCGACAATTTTCTTTGCGTCAGGACGACGGTCTGATGTTGGGATATTTACTGGACATGTATCCAGATTGTGTTTATCTAATAAGTGTTCGGATGTGTGTTATCTCGCTCCTCTGCACATAAACACCGCGGCGAACCACAACACATTCTACTTAGTCGGTAATATTTACTCAGCATTACCACCAGCGAGTTAAATGGACGCATCACCATTCATTGTAGAAAACTGGTTAAGACGGCGGCGTTATAAGTAACTCCTTCCAGGATAATTATCATTGGGTAAGGATGGGGTGATGGAGGCAGGGAAGAAATTGGGTAAGGTAAGGATGGGGTGATGGAGGCAGGGAAGAAATTGGGTAAGGTAAGGATGGGGTGATAGAGGCAGGGAAGAAATTGGGTAAGGTAAGGATGGGGTGATGGAGGCAGGGAAGAAATTGGGTAAGGTAAGGATGGGGTGATGGAGGCAGGGAAGAAATTGGGTAAGGTAAGGATGGGGTGATGGAGGCAGGGAAGAAATTGGGTAAGGTAAGGATGGGGTGATGGAGGCAGGGAAGAAATTGGGTCAAATTGACTCAAATTTCAAAAATCTCAACTCCCAGCTATAGTAGAATCATATAGGTTATCAAGGTACTTTACAGCTATTGTGATTTCAGGAAAACCGGGTTGTCACATTTTCTTTGGGGTGGGGGTATAGTTTACAATAGTTTATGTGAAAAGACTACATTTTTGATGCAAAGTTTGTTAGAATCCTAAACAGGATGGCAGTTAATGTTATGCACGCTTTACATTTTCATTACCTGTACAATGTAGTTAATTACATGTACAGTATAGTTAATTACATGTACAATGTAGTACAATGTAGTCTATTACATATACAATGTAGTTAATTACATGTACAAGATGTTAATTACATATACAATGTAGTTAATTACATGTACAAGATGTTAATTACATATACAATGTAGTTAATTACATGTACAAGAAGTTAATTACATATACAATGTAGTTAATTACATATACAATGTAGTTAATTACATGTACAAGAAGTTAATTACATGTACAATGTAGTTAATTACAGGTACAATGTAGTTCGAGATACGTTGCTTTGTTAAAAGGATTATGTCTTTATGACATAGTACAAGGTGAACGACAACGTTGTAACTCGGCTGACCAATAATGCCCTTCAGCCAATTTTTATATAATAGATCCATATATGGCCACACACACTGTTAATGCTAGTCCAGTCTGGGTTCGGGAAAGGTTTGGCGGTCTAAAATTTGTCAGAATTCAGTATATGATTAATTTTGAAATACAGTTGATATAAACGTATACAGACTACATCTTTTAATATGTGCAGTCGAACACACTTAATTTGAACTCGGTTATATTGAAAACGGGCTAATCTGAAATGAAAACAATCCCGTCAAAATGTCTTCGTATTTTCATCTCGTTTAATTTGAAATCTATTAATTTGAAATTCCACATTATTTAAAGTATAAATGCTGGCCCTGGACAGTACTAATGATCTGTTTTCACATCGCTTAATTTGAAGGCTATCCCGGCGGCCATGAGCAGTGTCGTCACATTTTGGTGCGTCCTTATCTCTAATTCGCCGCTGTGATGTGACAAACTATGTGTTAACAGAATTTCACTAAAGTGATGTAACTTTCGTGGCATCACTAGACCACTGTGGTATTACCACACTGTGTTAACAGAATTTCACTGAAGTGAGGTAACTTTCATGGACCTCACTAGACCGCTGTGGTATTACCACACTGTGTTAACAGAATTTCACTAAAGTGAGGTAACTTTCGTGGACCTCACTAGACCGCTGTGGTATTACCACACTGTGCTAACAGAATTTCACTAAAGTGAGGTAACTTTCATGTACCTCGCTAAGCTGGTCTGATGTTACTATATTGTGTTAGATAACAGAATTTCACTAAAGTACTGTAGTTTCCGTTGACCTCACTAGACCGCAGTGGTATTACCACACTGTGTTAACAGAAATTCGTTAAAGTGAGGTAATTTTTTATGTACCTCGCTAAGCTGGTCTTGTGTTACTTTATTGTGTTTGTTAACAGATGAATTTTGTTCATTTAGATATATTTCTATCGGAACATTCTTTGTTATGAAAAATGTTTTCTGTGAGCACGTGTATCTCATTTTGTATTTTTGTATGACATGACAGTTATATAAAATTGGATTTGAGTACCTCAGTTTGTCTTTACCATGGTATACATGACATGTGTGTGTCTCACAATATATGTGAAAATTCAGATTTTCAAATTTCAGAATAACTGATAATCTATGTACCGCTCAAGCTATGGCGATAGTTTTAGACAGGTTAATCAGAAATTTATTCCACTCCCATCGTCAATTTCGGTTTGCTTCTTCATGTACTTGTTTCAAAATTTACCTTGGTTTGTTACATAAACCAGTATGTGTGTGCGTGTGGACGTGTATTCTGTCTTGCTGTCTGTCTGTCTCACTGTCTTTCTCTGTCTCTCTCAAAATATTGTTTAATCGACTTTCATGTCAGGTATCATAATTTAGTGTTATCGACTTAATTTGGATATCATTTATATTGTACAAAACAGTTTTACACTCGGTTAAATAAAATCACCACAACCCTTGCGTTAACTAAATCATGGTTAAAATATTAATATTGCGCTTTATTTCTATTTTCAGCAACCTTTCGAGATTTTCGCAAGATGTGTGATGAAAATAACTACAGGACGATAGTTGTGCTGGTGTTCTGCCTAAGTTTGATGTTTAACTTGCTAGCCTATCTCGCTTACGATGCCAGTAGGACAATGTCACCTTACCGAGAACAGGTAGTTCAGGACCAAAACAGATACCTTCTTACCCCAAACGATGAAGGCAGCAGACAGTCGTCAAGTGAGAACCGATTCAAAAATTCTTTTGCTCCGCTTGCCACAGAAAGGGCGGTTAAAATAAGTGCTCAACAATTCTTAAAAGCCAGGTTAAAATCTCCCGAAGTTCAATCAAGAAAACTTCAAGAGGAAGATAGCTTTAATATTGAACAGGATCTTCATAACACAACCATTGGCAATGTCACTAATCCTCATAATTATTCTTACGTCATCAACCAGCCTCAACTGTGCAGGGGAGATAACTCATTAGATTTGATCATTATTGTGTGTACGAGTGTGTCAGGATTTTCAAAAAGACAGGCGATTCGGAACACGTGGGGTTTGTTTTTGAAACAGCAACAGAATGTGAGAATGGTATTTTTTCTTGGAGTGCAAAATAAAGAAAATATTCAAAATAAAGTTTTTGAGGAAAACCATACATACCATGATATTGTGCAGGAAGATTTCTGGGATTCGTACCGAAATCTGTCAATCAAATCGGTAGGAGCTCTTAAGTGGATGAAGAATTATTGTAATATAGCAAAATTTGGGTTAAAAGTTGATGATGATATTTTTGTGAATATTCCAAATCTAATGGAGATGTTATCCAAAGTGACTCACCCTCGTATCATTATCGGACACTTGTTTGTTGGGGCGCGTCCTATACAGGACATACACTCTAAATGGCACACAGCTAAGGAGGACTTTCCTCGAGACGTATACCCTCCCTACGTCTCTGGTACCTGTTACGTCATGTCCTTACAGGCAGCTATCGACATATATCAAGTGTCATTATATACCAAGCTATTTTGGTTGGAAGACATTTATATCACAGGAATATGTGCAGAAAAGGCAAAAATAAAACTAGCTCACGAACCGGAATTAACGTATATAAAACGTGTCGCTAGTGGTTGTGCTTTTGAACATGCCATAACAGGACATAAAGTAAGTTCAAAGGACATGTACAAAATTTACCGCGAATTACAAGATCCCAACTTAAAATGTATGAATGGTTCATAAAGCGGTTCATGATATCAATGTCTGGCTTCATGTTAGCATTTGATATCCATGTCTGACTTCATGTTTATGTCGTTGATAACAATATCTGGCTACAAGTTTGTTTCCTTGATATCAATATCTGGGTTCATGTTTGTGTCGTTGATTTCAATACCTTGTATATGTTTGTATCGGTTACATCAATACATTGTATGTTTGTATCGGTTATATCAATACCTTGTATGTTTGTATCGGTTACATCAATACATTGTATGTGTGTGTCGGTTATATCAATACCTTGTATATGTTTGTATCGGTTACATCAATACATTGTATGTTTGTGTCGTTGATATCAATACCTTGTATATGTTTGTATCGGTTATATCAATACATTGTATGTTTGTGTCGGTTATATCAATACATTGTATATGTTTGTATCGGTTATATCAATACCTGGTATATGTTTGTATCGGTTATATCAATACATTGTATGTTTGTATCGGTTATATCAATACCTTGTATATGTTTGTATCGGTTATATCAATACCTTGTATATGTTTGTATCGGTTATATCAATACATTGTATATGTTTGTATCGGTTATATCAATACCTGGTATATGTTTGTATCGGTTATATCAATACCTTGCACATGTTTGTATCGGTTATATCAATACATTGTATATGTTTGTATCGGTTATATCAATACCTTGTATATGTTTGTATCGGTTATATCAATACCTTGTATATGCTTGTATCGGTTATATCAATACCTTGTATATGTTTGTATCGGTTATATCAATACCTTGTATATGTTTGTATCGGTTATATCAATACATTGTATATGTTTGTATCGGTTATATCAATACCTTGAATGTTTGTATCGGTTATATCAATACCTTGTATATGTTTGTATCGGTTATATCAATACATTGTATATGTTTGTATCGGTTATATCAATACCTTGCACATGTTTGTATCGGTTATATCAATACCTTGTATATGTTTGTATCGGTTATATCAATACATTGTATGTGTGTGTCGGTTATATCAATACCTTGTATATGTTTGTATCGGTTACATCAATACATTGTATGTTTGTGTCGTTGATATCAATACCTTGTATATGTTTGTATCGGTTATATCAATACCTTGTATATGCTTGTATCGGTTATATCAATACCTTGCACATGTTTGTATCGGTTATATCAATACATTGTATATGTTTGTATCGGTTATATCAATACCTTGTATATGTTTGTATCGGTTATATCAATACCTGGTATATGTTTGTATCGGTTATATCAATACCTGGTATATGTTTGTATCGGTTATATCAATACCTTGTATATGTTTGTATCGGTTATATCAATACATTGTATATGTTTGTATCGGTTATATCAATACCTGGTATATGTTTGTATCGGTTACATCAATACATTGTATGTTTGTGTCGGTTATATCAATACCTTGTATATGTTTGTATCGGTTATATCAATACATTGTATGTTTGTATCGGTTATATCAATACCTTGTATATGTTTGTGTCGGTTATATCAATACCTGGTATATGTTTGTATCGGTTATATCAATACATTGTATGTTTGTGTCGGTTATATCAATACCTTGTATATGTTTGTATCGGTTATATCAATACATTGTATGTTTGTATCGGTTATATCAATACCTTGTATATGTTTGTATCGGTTACATCAATGCCTTGTACATGTTTGTATCGGTTATATCAATACCTTGTATATGTTTGTATCGGTTATATCAATACCTTGTATATGTTTGTATCGGTTATATCAATACATTGTATATGTTTGTATCGGTTATATCAATACCTTGTATATGTTTGTATCGGTTATATCAATCAATACCTTGTATATGTTTGTATCGGTTATATCAATACATTGTATGTTTGTATCGGTTATATCAATACCTTGTATATGTTTGTATCGGTTATATCAATACATTGTATGTTTGTATCGGTTATATCAATACATTGTATGTTTGTATCGGTTATATCAATACCTTGTATATGTTTGTATCGGTTACATCAATGCCTTGTACATGTTTGTATCGGTTATATCAATACCTTGTATATGTTTGTTTGTTTTTAATTCGCTGTTGATTTATCAATTACTGAACTGTGATATTAAAGAATATTAATTGATCTTGTATTAATTATCACTGGGCCTATTAAATGTTAATATAAGCAATCATTTGTCTCTGATTTTTCGTTACCTGTCGTGATTGAATTAGGGAGAGAGAAAACCAACCTGGCTTCACCTGCTCAGAAGTTGGTTAGTGTTAACCACTAGTTAGCGAAAATGTTTAGATATAAATCAAACGCAAACATTTTTTTTAATTTCATTGTTGTAGATTCCTTTTGAGAGGTCAGATGAACGTATCTTTGAAGTTAGTTTTGCTTTGAAAATCATTGGGTTTTTTTCAATGACAATTTTAATTTCTCACTAACCACTCATTAACTATAAACGAACTTTGAGTAATTGGGGCTGAAGTTGGGAAAACAAGTTCACTGTAATAAGATTACTTAGCTGAATATTTATTTACATCCGATAGAAATCCGGCAGATTTAAACAGAAATTTGAAAATAAATTGTGTGAAAAGAACGGGAAAATATTTTATCTTTTTTTCTCAGCTCTAGGTGTTATCCATCGTAATCAGAATCTCAATGTATTATTTCATATATATTTTTAATAAGTGTACTTTCAGCTACAGTGTGAAATGTAACGTCTTTTTATCAAAATTCCCACAAGCCTGACTTGGCCTTCCCATAGGTGTTGTCCTTCTATGAATGTAGATTGATACGATGTGTTTACGCATCCACATTTACAACTTATCTGATTGGGGGCTTTTTGACATCGGAGATCCCTACTTTATAAGTCACTTCTGATTGGATACTGTCTGCTGATGACAGATGTGCTTTCTTTGGAGATCTTACTCCGTAAAGTGAGGTAATGAGTACAGAGGATGGTCGATAAAGAGATATTCTATCGATAGAGAAAATACCGACACGTCAACAGAATCTTAACTCATACTCAAAATCTGTGAAACATTGAGACTTTTTAAAAGTATGATGCATATAAAACCAAGAATTGCGGAAGAGTAAGCGTCTTTTGCTTCACTGACGTCACCCGCCATGTAAAACCTTGATCAATCAAGGTCAATAATGTTACGTGCCTAAATGAGAACAAGGTTGGCAACAACGAACCAACAGGCAAACAACGATTATCACACGTGTCAAGCTTTAGATAAAAAAAGAACATATTTAACAAGGTCATCTATCAAATGACAATGAACTATGTTTCTTGTTTTTTACTAAAATACATCTAACAAAGGGGACTGTAACATGGTCCTTGTCTCACTAAAATACGTTTAACACAGGGGACTGTAACATGGTCCTTGTCTCACTAAAATACCTTTAACACAGGGGACTGTAACATGGTCCTTGTCTCACTAAAATACCTTTAACACAGGGGGCTGTAACATGGTCCTTGTCTCACTAAAATACGTTTAACACAGGGGACTGTAACATGGTCCTTGTCTCACTAAAATACGTTTAACACAGGGGACTGTAACATGGTCCTTGTCTCACTAAACTGCCATTCCAGAATAATTGACCCACTTAGAAGAGGTTGAAACTACCTTGTGTCGCAGTGTCGACAAAATATATATTTTACAACAACTTTCCTGTTCCTACAATTTGTTCTAGGTATTGTCTGACAAAATTAATTACCTTGTTCACAACTAACACTTATATTTTTCAGAAGCGGATGGTATTATATTATGGTAAATAGACAATAATAAACGATTTTGCAATGTCGCTTTAGTTGTCTTTGATATTGTCAGTTGAAGCTCACAATGTTGTGGCGAGGTATGCATAAATCAAGTACTGTTTCGGTTGCTAAAAATACGTTACATGACAACAAAATACTTTTTTACAAGCCCTCTCTACGCTACTGTTTTTAAAACCTAATGCAACATTGTCGCCTTAGACGGTCTGACATCTGTAACGCCTAAAACTATAACCGGTGTTTCTATATTTTCTGGATTTGTTGCTAAATAACTTCACTAAAATCACTCGTTATACATCACTTACGATCGCCATTGCGTTTATTTTAAAACAAGATTTGTCAAACACGTTCTGCTGATCAATATATACAACACATTGCAATGTCGCATTTAAGGGCCTGACATCCGTAACGGCTTTAAATTGAATATAAAACTATAGAGAACAAAAGTTTTGCATATATTTGAGTTAAAGTTAAGTAAAGTTTTTAAAAAAAACACGAAACTGGCCTGATATTATTTGTTATGATCTGTGAAATGGAAATAACAATGCTGAAATCTGACTTCTGTAACGTCTGACATCCGTAACAGAAATTTGTTGAAGCCGTATCGGGGATCCGCCGGGCATGTATTCCGGATATAATAATTTTAATGAAACACCGGTGAAGTATAGAAGCGGGAATGCTGAAAACACATGGTCCGATGAGCGAATACACAAGATAAAATGGAAAGACAACGCCAAATCCATGCAAAATTACGTCGCAATTTCCGATGTTCTGTGCCACAACGCAACTGCCGTTTATGCTATACTGTTGGCGGTTATTCCTAAGATAAAGGAACTTGTTCCAGACCTTGAAACCATACATTACCTGACAGATTCTCCAACCAGTCAGTACAGAAACAAAACAATATTTCAATTCATTTCACAGCATAAAGAGGAATTTGGCGTCAATACACGATGGAACTACCTGGAAAGTGGTCACGGGAAAGGGCCGTGTGACGGCCTAGGAGCTAGTGTAAAAAGAGCTGCTGGTGACGCCATAAAACAAGGCAGATCTTCTATCCAAAATGCGGATGACTTTTTCAAATGGTCAAAATCTGCTGTGGGATGCGGCAGTAAAGTGTTGTACGTTCTCTACACGCAGTCAGACTACGACGAAGCCCAGGCACTACTCTCCCAACGTCCAACTGCACGTGCAGTCCCAGGAACTTTTAAAGTTCACTATGTGTTGTCATATGTACCAATGGAAGTGTATACCAGGAACATATCTTGCTATTGTGACCAATGTCTAGCGGACGTTGTCTCAACCTCATGTGACGGTTACACAAAACACAATCTTGCTCCAGTAAAAACAGAAATCAAACATCGACAGTCCATGTAGTGATTAATCAAGAAACGACTACCAAAGAAACAAACGACAAACCAACAAAGGAAACAGAACATACAGAAATTGGAACTAACGAACCTAAAGAAGCCGATGTAGTCATGGACGAGCAAGACCTACCAGGGGGGTCTACAAAGAATGGTGAACATGATGGCGACTTGGCAGTTGAAATTTCAATAGACGATTGGGTTGCTGCCATTTACAACACAACATGGTACATTGGTCAGGTCATCGAAGTAGATGAAAACGACGGCGATGTTCTTGTTGACTTTCTGGAGAAATCTGGCAGAGTATCAACCACGTTCAAAAAGCCTTCCAAACCGGATCAAATATGGATTTAAAAGCAGAATATTTTGCATATTCTGTGCACGCCGCCAGTCCTCATTGGCAG